AATGGCTCTCAGTGGTGATCAGACTTTTGAAACTCTCCAAAGGATTTTTCTGTAATCACAAGTTCATAACAGCTATTGGCTCTGAATAAGTACCCCCTAGGAATCTGAGAATTACTCCTTTATTCAGCTGGGGGTTTTAATTTGAGAGACTGTGCATAGGTTATCAAACAGAGGATTGTCCCTTCTTTAGGGTGATGCTTCAAAGTTTCACAGAGAAGGATTGGAACTTACTTCATTTACAAGTTTAATTCTTACGCAAATGGTATGAACAAGGACATAGGCTGGCTCTCACACTACTTTCCATATCCTAATGACTTAACCAACCAAACAATGGAGGTGCTAATTATTCTTATCAGCCTGTTGTAACTATTTGAACCATCTACTCACTGTCTCTCTATTTTTTTCCTCCTTTCTCCCTCCTTTTTTCCTTCTCCTCTCCTCCCCATTCCCCTATTTATTCTTGGATCTGGACTTCTAATACTCCAGTCATCTCAAGAAGTGGGTTGCACCCACAAATCTCATGATACCGTCTACATGTTTTGTTAGTTTTTAAAGTGCTACTAGTCTATTTGTTGGTTTTAAGTTTTCTCTGTTACAGACTAACTCAGCTACCCTCTGAAGCTTTTATACTTCTTCAGGTTTACATTAGCCTTGTCTCCCCTCTAGAGAGTCACAGACAATCCCACAAAAATGAAGAAATGATGCAGTTTCAATACAATGAATTCCTCAGCTACTTAAACTTTAACTCAGAAAGGTGTGTCCAAGATATTGCCATATCTGCACAAGCAGTGCCACTTAAAGTAGTGGGAACAGAGGAGTAGGCAAGTACTACTCCACACAAGGAAGGGTGGACAGAATATAATCCTTTGTAATTATCACAGAAAGAAGGATTTTATAGGAAAGCACAATAGTAAGGGCCAGTACCACTGAGATTTCACTTTTACAAAAGCGACCACAGTATATATGTTAGTGTGCTATGAGATAAACCTTCAATTGCCTGATTCTGTGATGAGCTGAGCATGCACAACAATTTACAGGCTTGAGCTTTATTATGTTTGTCCTTGTTGCTTCAAAACCTCAGACCTCTGCCACTTGAGCTAAAGGACAGTTTTGTAGTAATAGATCCCTTATAATCTCTAAACCTCCTACTGAATGGCATCATCTCTCTCTCTCTGTCTCTCTCTCTCTCACACACACACACACACACACACACACACACACGTAAAATACAGCTTAGCCTCTCATCTGAACAAATGGGTTTTGCCCACAAAAGCTCATGATACTATATATAGCTATATATATATACATATATTTGTTAGTCTGTAAGGTGCCACAGGACTACTACTCAATTTTACATTTATGTATGTAAAGGACTGGACTTGCCAATGTTGCAAACTGGACTGTTTTTACCCACTAAAAAGAGAAATATTATTTTATGTGCAATCTATTCAAAGAGGTCAGAGAGGCATTTCAATACAGCCATTTCACAGGCCACATTACCCAATTAATCTTATGTATACAATAGGCAGATTAGGTGGGTGTATACATACAAATCGACACACATACAAAACTGTCCCTCATGTTAACTATTTACATGCCAAATGTTGTCTAAGAACATGTGCATACAAAGTGCTATATAATGGCTTAATTTAGACAAATTGCAATGGTTATGGTAAGGAAAGTTATTTACCCTAATTGCATTAATATAAAACAGTGCAAAGAAATTGTAAATGAATTTACTATAGAGGTAACTAGCCATTCCATGGATTTCCTCTAATTAATTCAGGGTATAGTATATACTGAGGGTATTTTTCTTTAAAAATATTTAGGAGAAAAGATATAGATGTTTTAGTGCTTTGTAATTATGGCAGTACAGAATGCATGCTATCAACTTATATATATCAACACAATGCATTCAGAGCTACATTTAAAGGCATGGCATCCTGATCTAAAAAAGCAGAAATACCCACTATAGCTGCTGTTTCCACAGTGGTAGGATAGTGGTAGGGCACCAATGAATGTACCTCAGATACTCGTCAGCTAGGTTTTTGATGCCAGGAACCCATTCACCCATAACGGAACTAAAAGAGATATTTTTCATTGTTCAAAACTATTTAGAACATTTTAAACAGAAGTGAAACTAAGTGCCAAGATTTACCAGTACACTGGAATCTTGGGCATGGTGGGTAGGGCAACTTTGGTCCTGGCAGGGGCGGAGTCTCAGGCAGAATGGGAATGACTAAAGGGACCAGACTCCCCCAGCCAGCCCTTCTTGGCTGCTGTTGCAGCAGCAGACAGGAGCTGCAGCAGTGGGGAGTCCTGGGCAATTTGAATGGCCTGGGGCTCCCAGCCACTGCTGCGGTAGCAGCAGCCAGGAACCTCAGGACATTTTAAATTTCTGGGTCCCAATGTAGCTGCCTCTTTTGCTTCACCCTGTCGACAGAGCTGCTGAATTCTACTGAAAGGGCTCCCAACAAGGGAAGGAGCAAAAGGGGCAGCAATGTTAAAACGCTGCCTTGACAGTGCTTTAACATCAGCCATATACGGGCTGGTACTGGCAGCTGCTTCTTAGTGGTATGAGAAAACTTTCCATACTGTCCCACTTTCACCTCTGATTTTAAGCAAATTTTTCCCTCTTTAAAAGAGTATGAAGCGTGATTTCACTCTTCTTGGGGTATTCTTCGTTATAGTTCATCTTTTGTATGTAACAGGTGGAGCTTTAATCAAGGCCTAATTGCACCTGTTTAGCACAGCCCCCTGAAAGGCTGTGTGGAGATGCACGGACCCAGAAGCTCCCAGTTGTGCTTTGGGTATGGGTGGGAGATTAATTTATCACGTATCTTTTTAAAATTGCAGCATGCTCCTTCCTCGCAATGCGTAGGAAGTGCTGAGACATGGCTCTACCTCCTCTTTTCAGCAAATTCCTCCCAGATTGAGTGACTGTGCTCCTCCCCAAAAGAGATACTAGGAGCCTCAGTGGCTTCTACTCACACTCCGAATGATTAGCTCTTCCAACTCCTAGTATGGTCACAATGTAACCCAAAATACTCAGATTCACTTTGTGCCAGGTTCAGCTACCTATCATCCCACAGGGTGGTATCTTACTCTGTGGGCAGCTGCATTGATTTCAATGGGATGATGAGTGAAGCAAAGGTGCTACTGGCACAGTAAGGTATTGCCCAGCACCAGAAAGGGTGGCAGAAGATGACCCTTTGTAATTTTGAGTATACCACCTAGAACTCAACCTGGAGTAGGAACAGTGACAGACTTTGCCAGGTCCTGGGGAGGATCTCAGGAGGAAGGGGCAGGGCTACGGATCATCTAGTGCTCAGCACTGTCTGGACCACACCCTGCCTCCTTCACCCAGCCCTCATTGTTGCCTGCACCATGCTGAGTGGGGCTCTGCTGGCAATTTAAAGGGCCCACAGCTCTGTCTGCTGCTGCTGTTGTGGTACCAGTAGCAGCAACCTGGAGCTCTGAGCTATTTAAAATCACCAGGCCCTGAAGCAGCTGACCCATTGCCGTCCTGCCCGACCCTGACCAGCAGCTCTGACCTGGAGCATTTGCAAATTGTTTGAATAAATGAGAAATTACTTTAAGCTTCTCTCCCCAAAACATATGTAATTACAGAACACTTTAGAAAAAGGAATTGTAGCAAGTACCCTAGAGTGGGCTAAAAAATTAATGGATGTTTTGGGTACACTGAGAATGCAGAATTGGTTCCTAATTGGCATAATTATATCAATATGTCAATAAATATTTACAAGGGAAATCATTTTTGTTCATAAGACATTAACACGTGTGATTTATGATTATGAAAGCAATTTAGTTTCTCAGGGGGATTGATGTGGCTGAATGCTCTTCACGAGACAGAAAGAAGATGCTGTTTCTTTCATGATTCGTCTGTTCTTCTAGTTGTAGATGACCTTAGTACATAATATATGCAGTTTTCCACTCGTTTCTGGTTAATTTCAGTATTATTCCATTTTAGAGGTTTCTGAAAACAAACAAAAAGAAAATGGATGAAACTGAAACAGAAATCTTTTGCATTGGTTTTAAAATGCAATAGTGAATGAACTTGTGGGAGCACCAGCATTGTGTTGTGTGAACAGTTGTGTGTCAGTGAAGAATTATCATTCAGCTACTGCCATTTGCTATGTAGCTTAAAACAGATAGGGAGCAGATCAGTTACTAAGGAGAAAACCCTGTCACTTCTACTGACCTCAGTACAATACAAATTCCACTCTTGCAGAGGGGAAACTACAGAGTGAGCTGTTGGTTAAAACAAAGGAGAGGGAATCAACAGATCTTGAATAAAATCTTGGTTCTGTTGGAGTCAATGACAAAACCCTCATTCATTTCAACAAAGCCAAGATTTCACCATTCTCTGCTCTGCCACTGGCCAATTGCATGATGTGAACCAAGTCACTTCACCTATTTGTCCGTCCATTTTTATTTGCTAGATGTGACCCCATTAGTAGTGCCTGAGTGTCCCACTCTCACATCCAGAGATGTCAGAGCCCAGACCACAGAGTAGTGTGTTTGTAAGCTTGGGTACCTTGCAATGCTTTGCTGTTGTGGCTGCCTGGATACTAATTTACCAGCATGCTGGTCACATTCTGAGTGACCCTGTACCCTAGCTGAGCAGTTCTAACCCCAGCAGCCTGTCTACAGTTCTACTCGGGCTTCCACCAGCCTTGGTTATTATTTTCTGGTTATTATTATCAAACTCCAAGTTCCAGACTTTCCTAAAGTTGTGTTTTGCACTGTCCAGACCCCTCCTGGACAAATCAGAGAAATTACATGGTTTGTTTGTTCCTCTAAATCAACAAAATACATCACAGCTTATTATCTTAACTGGGGTGAATACACCATTCTGTTTAAAGACAACATTGAGTTGGTTCGTGGTAAATATGATATTAAATGTGTTAACAAAATATCTATAGGATTAAGTGAGTTCAAGTGTAAGAAATGAAGATAGAAAGAATTACAACTAAAACAAATAAAAATATGCTTGCTTCTAAAAGTCTAAAATTTAATCTATCAAGATACATGCTTTGCTCATGATGGCTTCTCTCACAAGTCATTATTTTTCCCCAAGCATGGTTGACATTCTCTCTTTCAGGACTTTCCACAAAAGTGAAAAATGCTGGCTTTCCTTGTCTTCATAGCTGTAAGAGCTTTACTTTAGCAGGGTTTCTCATCTATATTCAGATCCAAATATTTTAACTTCTCTTTGTTGAAGGATCCATCTTTCTCAGCTTGCAAGAGCTCTATTTCCTCATATCTCTCTTGTGATGGATGTCACTGCTAGAGACTGCTTCTGTGCTTACTTATACCTTCCAAAGTTCAATGAACTTGTTTCAAGAGGCAGGTTGACTTCATACTGTTCTTCCCTTCCTGTGGGGTTCCCATCCCCCTGAACGTAAACAGGGCTTCCATAGTTTTGATTGCACCATGCTTAATTTACATAGAAGACAGGTAGATAGCTGTCCCCCTGCCTGTCAGAGTGGGAACTGCTCCTTCTTCTGTTGTTTGGCTACATACTTTAAAACATGCGAGTATTCATACTTTCCTCTATAGTGTTAATAAATACTTTTCACACTGAAACTGACACCAGTTCAGCACCCTCTAGTCCCCATCACCTTATAGACCAGCTATCCTTTGAGGTGGGTTCTGAAAAATAAAACTCAGGCCAAGCTTTTCTCATCTACTGGGTGTAGACTTAGGATGTTAAAGACTAGTCAACTATCTGATAAGCATTTGCTTGTTGGAAAGTCTTTTGACTAATTGATATCCCCCCCTCCCCCGCTTCCTCTATGAAATAGAGGCAGCAAAGGGGGAGGTGAGGGGTACTTCTAAGTGTCAGTGCAACACAGCAGGGGTGTAGACTTAGGATGTTAAAGACTAGTCAACTATCTGATAAGCATTTGCTTGTTGGAAAGTCTTTTGACTAATTGATATCCCCCCCTCCCCCGCTTCCTCTATGAAATAGAGGCAGCAAAGGGGGAGGTGAGGGGTACTTCTAAGTGTCAGTGCAACACAGCAGTGCTGCTACTTTGAAACCCCACGGCGGCCACAGATCAGCTGTGTGGCGGGCTGCCCCTTTAAAACGCCGCCTCTGCACAATTCAAAGGGGCAGCTGTGGAGCCCAGGGTCAGCTGTGGAGTCTCCTGCTGACCCCAGGCTCCATGGCTGCCGCTTTGAATCATGCAGAGGTGGCGTTTTAAAAGGGTAATTGCTGTGGAGCCCGGGGTCAACAGGGGACTCCCCAACTGATCCGGGCTCCCCAAGGCATTTCCCTGGGTCAGCCGGGGATTCCCCAGCTGACCCTGGGCTCCTAGTGGCATGAAGCATAGCATGGAGCCTGGGGTCAGTGAGGGACTAACTCTGAGTCCCCCGCTGACCCCGGGCTCCAAAGTTTTGAAATGCACAAGAGCCCCTGTTGGGGACTCTTGTGCATTTGCCACTTGCAGCCTGGAGTCAATGGGTCTTCCACTGGCCCCAGGCTTTATGCGGAGTTCCGCATAGTGCAGAAGTGCATATCAACTAGTCAACTAGTCAATTAACTGAATTTTAACATCCTTAGTATAGACACCATGCTGTCTTCTCCCCCATTTATTAAAGTAAAGTTTAACTCTAACTCTTGTTAACTTGATGAGTCTGTATACTTCTCACATGTAAATTGAGGTGAAAACAAATTCTAAAGGAGTTGTGCCCACGAAACTCATGGTACTATCAATAGTTGGTTTTAGTCTCTAACGTGCTACAGGACCACTCATTTTTTCAGCTTTTTTTAAAGTTACAGAATAACATGGCTATCCCTCAGACTTCTACACTTTTTTTCTTTTTTTTTACCATAGATCTGTTTAACAACTCCTAAATATACCTGGCTTACACTCACTTTGGTTATATTCCAGCATACATCCATAACTCTTAAAACCCATTTTGTACATATATCCCACAAGAATGTTAATGATCAGTGAATTATTCATTTTCAAATGATATCTCACAAGGCAAATCTTGGTGCAAAAATTATTACATGGGTGTAAATACAGGAGCATTTAGTGATGTACACACAATCTTTACTGCATTTGTTATCAAAATGCCCGAGACAGGACTACATTATCATCCTCTCTTTAGAGCTGAGGAATTGAGAAACAGAGGCAAAGCAACTTGTGTACGTCACTTAGAAAGTCTGGGGTAAACCAGGAAACTGCACCTGGGTCTCTCCAACTCCTGTGCAATTACCCCAATCACTCCCCCATGGGCGGCCCTAGACTAGCTGCCAGCAACTGGCGCCCTAGGTGAACCATGCAATCGGCGCCCCCACCTCCAAACCCCTCAACAATATTGCGCCACCATTTGGCGCCCCATTTAACTTGGCAACCTAGGCAACCACCTAGTTCGCCTATATGGATGGGCCGCCCCTGCACTCCCCATTCACTGATGCTCATATGTTCAGCTTACATTGTTATCTCATTTAAAAGCTTCAGCCATCCTATCAGACAGCAGAGAAAATATCAAATGGCAAAAGTTCTCAAATGTGGGTAATGTAGTTCAAATGTAGGCACCAAAATCCATAATTTAATAACCTAAATAAAAGCAATGGGACCTTTAAAAAATGCTGGGAACCCACAACACCCAATGACTTAAGCAGGAGTCTGAATGCCTAAATATGGATTTAAATGCCTGATTTTAAGATACTGGAGTCTGAAAAGTTTGCCCTTTGTCACATGCTTCACATTCAGTAAAGAAACAAAAGGAATAGTTACCCCACAGTGAACGAGAGTCTTTGCTTTGTGTGTAAAAAGCAAAAGGCTATGAAAGCCCAGAGGAAAATCTGTTAGTAGTATAAAAGACAGAAATGCAATATAGTCTAAGAGACAATGCACAGGCCTGGCAGTGAAGATCTTTCAGTGGCTTCGGGCAACTCTCTTTGCCTCTCTCTTTATCTTGTCTGTCTGGATTGTATGTTCTTTGGGGCAGGGACTGATTCTTTTAGTTCCTGGCACAATGGAGCTTGGATCTCAGCTGGCATCTCTGTGCACGACTAAATACAGTATTATACACACTTATTTAAAATCTGCTCCCCTTTGGGGGCAGAAGCTGAAATGAGAGTTAAATTATTGGAGTTTGCTTTTATTTTTAGCATCTTAAAACATTTTTGAATAATTTTATTATAATGTAATTTACATCAATGAATTTCAGCTTGATCATTGTCTAGGTTTAAATAATTGAAAGGAAGAAAATGAATGGGGGTAAATTAATTGGAAGTAGCCTGGTGGTGTAATCAACATTAAAACTTTGGCATGAGACCTTTGATTCCTGCCCCTTACTAAACTTAAAGAGATGTTTTTAATACGGGCCAAAGTAGCAAGTTCATCTCTCTTTTGACTGGCCCATTGAACTGACATTATGGGACTTTTTAAAAAGCAGACTTAATTTATCCCTGCAATTATGGCTTCCTATAAGTCTTCCATGTTTGCTTTTGCACTCACCAAAGCTTTGATTTACATGCACCAATTAAATCCACATTTCCCAATGCACACATGAATGTGCACACAGAGAATCTTGGCAGAAGAAAAACCCTAATGGAGGATTTCTGAATGTCCTGACCAAAAGATTAGAAGAAAATCAACATGTCCTTTGGCTATCTAATGATCTCTCAGCCACCGAGTAAGATAATTTCTGGGTCTGTTTCATTAATCCAAGACTCTGATAGCAATCTCCCTAGAGACAGCAAAGGTCTTTCCTTGTATGTTCTGCTAAAGCCTTCAACCAAGAGGACTAATAAAGTGCAGCCTTTTCTCTGTTGACAAGGAGTTTAAAGGGCATGTGTATAAAGGCTTGAAGGATCTGATGCCTCAAGAGTAAATGGCATAATTAGAGTCTGAGCCTTCAGGCAGATGTTGTCTCTTAAAACTGCATTCTGCCTGGCTCCCCGTGGGTAAGAAATCAAATGAAAAGTTTTTCTTTCCTAGTGTAACCATTGCTTACAGTGTCCAGTTAGTCCCCTATCTAGATGACAGGACAGCCATGAAAGCCAGAATCATTACTGAACTCATTCTGGTTAGCTGGGCAGAGAGTACAAATTCCCTGGCTAGTGCAAATCTGGACTAACCCATCTTTCTCCCCTTTTCCTTCTCTGACAGCTGTCTGGTTTTTTTCCTACTCATCTGGGTGTGATCTGCTATGGCTGCTGGGGATGCAGTGGACTCAAATCCCTCTGTTCTTGCTGCTTCCTGGCTCTCCTTTTCTCATGCCCCATGAACATTTCTGTCTTAGCATATACACTGGGAGCTGTCTCCATCTGAATTAGAAATGCCTCATCTCAGTTAATGGTCTTTTGATGAAAGGGAAGAGAAGACAGGCTAAAGAACCACTGCTGCTGGCCCTCCTACAGCAACAATGGGCAACTGAGGCCAATGAGTGGGCCACATGAGTGGCCCTACTTCACCTCAGTCTGTCATATCCAAGATGGTCTCCCAGAATAAGGTAGTTTTGCTAACTGCAATTGCATAGCTAGAATTTATGGGACATGACAATTGAACTGCAGCAGCACTTTGATTGGATACAGAAGGAGCTCACAGTCAATGTTGTGTGCAATCAGCACGCACCTCACTTCACATGTCCTTCCTTTATGTGTGTGTCACTTCGGTAATAATGGTAGGGAAAAAGCTACATGGCTGGAAACCAGTAGACTCTAGCAATGCTGCACCTAAATAAATCATCTTGCAGGCCACACGTAGAACCACAGTAGGCCGTATCCAGCCTGCAAGTTGCACTAGAGGAATCAGGTTTGGAGTAGGGTTGCCAGATGGTTTCAGAAAAAATACCCAACAACAAAAAAGAACCCCAAGAGAAGTTAAGCAAAACAAACAAACAAAGAAAACCCCACTGTGGCCCCTTTAAAAACCACGTAGTGAGGCTTTTGGGCCCTAACAGGCTGCAGGTGGTCGCCCGCCATCTTGCCTCCCTGCGCTGAACTGGACAGCTCCCCAGTAAGCAATAGGGTTGCCAGGCTGCCTCCATATTGACCCAGACAGCCCAGGATTTTTGCCTCCTGGCCAGGAAAAAAAAAAAAATCAGAAAGTACCGGATATTTTAGATGTCCAGTATTTTCTGAAATTTTTTTACCGGAGAGGAGACGAAAATAATGGGCTGTCCGGTTCAATACCAGACACCTGGAAACCATAGTTTGGAGATAGAATAAAACATGATCTGATGCTATAAACTCCACAATGTCTGCACAGAGGGAGAAGAGGATTTGATTCTGTGAACACTGGCCTCAAGTGAGAAGTGGAAGAACAGGATCTACAGGTGTGCCACATAGTTGTGCTGCTTGCAGAGGACTAGAACCCATGCTTGAGACATGGGAATTGATACAAGCTGCCACATACAACATTAGCTATAAGATGTATAATCTCTTCTAGTGCATCCTTTTCACCTCCCCAGGCATACTGAGGTTAGAGAAATTTCAGCACCTTGGATCCTCACTGAAAATTAGTCTTTGAACCCTACACTGAGTTAAGAGGGAGGTTTGTGGGGAAAGAGATTAGGAGGGAAACCCTACAGAGGGGAAAAAACGTATTATTAGAGTATGGGGAAGCTGAGGACCTCAGTCACCTTTTCCACTAGCTCCACCCATAATTAACAACATTAAGTTCAATTTGTGCTACATTTAGGTTATTAAACAATAAGAACCAGATTCTTATTTACTCCCACTTTAAGTTCCTTTCACACAACCAGAGCAGCAAAAAGTAGCCTTCGTGCAAAAGAGAATGAGTATCTAAAAGTGGACCTTTTTCACAAAGCTAAGTTACAGATTACAGATAGTATATGCTGGTTTTTGTTTCACTAGCAGTTCTAAAAAAAAATGGAACAACAACTTGTTAAAGTTCAACTGAAACCAAAAGCGCTGGACAATTTCAGAGAATTACAAAAGTTGACAAAAATTTTAATTTGGGATTGAATGAAACTTTGTGTCTTTGGGCGTTTTTTAAATAAAAAGCAAAGTACATGAAGGGCTAGAGTCACAAAACAGCTAGTTCCCTGATAATCATTAGTCCTTTAGAATATGTCTATGCCAGTGTTTCTCAACCAGTGGTATGCGTACAAGTGAAATTTGGCAAAAAATGTCCAGGATTTTTCCCTGAAAAGGGGATCAGGGAAGAGATGTAGGTACATGCCTGTCAAATTGAATGTTCAGAGCCGCGCACCCGGATGTTAACAGATGCTCTGCGCGTGCACCCCAGCTCTGGTGGTGGCAGTTCCGGTGAGACCCAGGGCAGTTCCAAGTTGGGGGGTGGGTTTGGATGGGGAGAAAAAAAATCACGTCCACATCTGCCTCTCCTCCCCCCCGCCAGCAGCTCAGTACAACGCATCCCCATCGCCCCTTCCCCATGGCACTGCAGAGAGGAGCTAAAAGGTGGTAAAGCAGCACAATAAGCTTTTTTCCAGAGGCACCCCCCCCACACACACACACACATCAGTGGCATAGTGAAGGGGAGCAGTTGTCTCCAGGTACCATGCTAGGGGGGCACTGGGCTGAGGTGGGAGCACACAGCCCCATGCAGCAAGCTCGGCACTGACAGGCCACTTGCTCCCTGCAGACAAGCTGCCAAGGCAGAGCCAGGCAGTGGGAGCAGACACTTCAAAGGTAGGGTTACCATATGTTCGGTGCCTGGCTCTGGGAGAGGGGAGGCACATTGGGTTAGAGCAGGGAGGCTGGGGGTGCCTGGCTCTGGGGGAGGGATGGGTGCATTGAGTTAGATGGGGGGGCTGAGGGTATTTATTTTTTTAAAGGGGTACTTTTTTTTATAAAGTTGAGAAACACTGGTCTATGCAACAGCTGGGAAATGTGGTTCCTGGCTTGGGTTGATAGACATGCTAGCTCTGTTCCACATAGGGTGCTAAAAATGGCAGCCTGGCAATGGCAGCTGTCCAAGTAGTTACCCTAGGAGGAGGTGGAGAGTAACAGGCAGGATTGCACTAGGGTGGCTAGCCTAAGCCCCCACCTGTGCTACCACAGTCACACTACAGCCAGATTGCACTATGCTGAGCAGAGCTAGCATGTGGCTGTCTATCCTAGCCGGGAATCACACACCTCCAAGCTGCTATGTAGACATAACTTTAGTGATTAAGAGTTAGTCACACCTGGGCTATGAGGACACCCAAGTTCAATTCCCCCCTGTGCCTAATCTGCAGAAAGGAGCTGAACTTGGAGCTCCTACACCACAGGAGAGTGCACTGGGCTAGGGAATATTCTGGAACAGGTCTCTCAGTATGTTCCATTGAAGCTGTTCCACTTTGTATTAGTGATTAAACAGTTACTGGCATAGGGACTTGAACGTGGATCTCTCCCCTCCCAGCTGAGTGTTTGGAATACCAAGCTCTAGAGACACTGGCATGCTCTGCCTTTGGGCTAATGACTATACAAATACTTCACACAAAATGGAACCATTGCAATCAGAGAGGGGGTATGGCCACATCAGCATCGTGGCAGGGTTGTAGCTTGTGCAGATATTGCTGTAGACATTTGCTATACAAATCAGTGAGAATGTGACAGCAAGAGCTTCAGTGCAAGCTATACAAAGCTGGCTGCCTCTGTTCCCCTCCCCGATATACAACATACATTGCTAGCCCACATAGCCACATCCTTAATGCTCTGTCTGGCCAGTTAGCTAGATTAAAAGCTAGTGAGGGTACATCTATACCAGCTGCAAATTGCACACTTTGTTGCAGTGCAGGCACTCAGATCACACTGCCCTATATCCCAGTGCTAAGGGCATTCTTCTCTAAAAGAGGCAACTGCAGCAGCACCACCCCTGGACAGACATTTTTCATCCAAAACCATTCAGTGACTCTGTGTTTCATCTATAAATATGATTGGTCAACAGAAACTGTGCTTTTTAGTGAACAAAACTATCATGCAAAAAAAATTTGCACCCACCTCCAATGACCCGGTGTCTATTTAAAAATGTGTAATTCTAAATAGTGACAGAGAGTCATAATGGTACTCCTAGTTTCTCCCCTGCTCTGCCCACTTTCCTCAGAAAATGATACTATGCAGACTTTCACACTCACAGAGAACTCCCAGGCTCATGAAGAATGAAGACTGCCCTTAGACCTGAAAACAGTGGCATGCATTTGTTTACATTCGTAAGTGATGGCATGACACTCACCTTCCCTCTTTTTCAGGAGGTATGTTTTATTATGAACTGTGGTGTCTTGGAACTTTTTCCTTACATTTTCAATTACATTTTCATCCAAATATTCATAGACGTGCTTCTCCGGTTCCTTTTCTTGTCCATGCTTTGGAAGCATATTGTTTATTGGACCTAAGTAACAAATAAACAAATTATAAAATAACTGTAAGGAGGTGACATTGGAGTCATAAGAACATAAAAACAGCCATACTGAGTCAGACCAAAGGTCCATCTAGCCCAGTATCCTGTCTGCCAACAGTGGCCAATACCAGATGCCACAGAGGTAGGGAACACAACAGGTAATCATGACGTGATCCCTCTTTTGTCACCTGTTTCTGTTGTTCACCATATGTATCTGACCCTCCATTCTTCAGAATTATCTCATTTTTGACCATTTTCACTTCTTCTCTGTTCCTCTTCTTTCTTCATGTCATATTATTTGTGAAGAACAAATCATGCCAAACCAACTTAATATCTTTTGACAGGGTTACTGGGCTACTGGACAAGGGAAGCAATCAATGTGATATATCTTGATTTTTGTAAAGCTTTTGACACAGTTCCGCATGACTTTCTCATAAGGAGAGTGTGGTCTAGAGGGAATTACTACAAGGTGGGTACAGAAATGGTTGAAAGACCCTACTCAAAGGTTTGTTTTCAATGCATTCCCTGAATGCAGTTCTCGGATACAGAAGTGCAGAGAACATAGCCACAATTTTCTTCACATACATTTCTACATTTGCAATTCATTTTCAACTGGCTGCATCTCTTATCAGTGAAAGTATACCAAATAATACACTGCAAGGAATAAACTAATTCCTGGAGATCAGAAGGGCAAACACTTTGTGTTCACTGGACTTGTTAATATGGAATTAAGCCACCAAAAGTGCCTAGAATTGATACTGACTGCTCTCTGTTTTTTCTCTCTCCACACTCATGCTTATAAACAAAATAATACCATCTAAGCTAGGAAGAAAGGAAATTAATGGTACTAACCCAAAACACATCCCAAAGGATTAAAGTCAGTAACACTTTATTGGAAGTATCCTTTAACCCCAAACTGGAGTGGGAGATCTTTTAAAATGTATGTATTACACTTCAATTAAGCATTAGAAAATGAGACAGAAAAAAATGAATCACCTCAAGAGAATACCAAGCAGTAAAATCAATACATGTTAATTCCCTGCTTGGAGATCTATTAACCTCAACAATAACTTTACATCACAGCTCTATGATTTTTAAATTACATTTCTTTCCCTGGGGTAGCAGGACACGGTCTCTAAAATTTAAAGCCCTAAGATTCCCTACCACACTTGTTAATGGTTATGGACACTCTCTTTGAGGAGAGGTCAGCTGGATTTTATTTCTTTTGAAGTCTTTTGGTCCTTCCAGTGGCACCAGTTTAGATATTTCTTTGGAGGAGGAGGCAAATTCCAGCTCTTGCCTTCCCTCAGCCAGGACCTCAATCTACTCCTTATTCATTTCCCACATCTTCCTCCCGCAGAGACCTTGGGTCTCCCATGGCTGAAGAGTCTTCCATCTCTCTTACCCATAGAATCCATAAGTCGGTGCCACCAGAAGTAAAGTTCTCAGCAGACTCTCCTGCACTCCATTCTACAAAAACAGACTCCCGCTCCATCAGGTTATACCACTATTTGGTTCAACCAACCCTCCATCTGAGCACAGGGGAGGTTAGGACCAAATTTGGATGGTGTTGCATCTTTGTGTGCCAGGTCACAATGTCACGGGCTGAAATTTAGTTTGGCCAGCTCTCTGTACCAAGGGTGGCTGGATCCAATTCCAGTGGCTTTGCATAACACAGGCCATGTAATAAATGCAGTGCAGAGGAAGTGTTTTCTAGAGAGCAACATGAGGTTACTTTATCCCCAGTGCTCAATTCCCTTGCAGCCCAGACATGAAATATGCACAAAGTCCAAACTTATCTTCCTTTGAGGCTGCTCACTGCACAGCTGGCAGCCTCATCAAGGCTTGTCCCAAAAATAATATTTTGTAATACAATGGTATAATTGCAGGAAGACACTCCAGGGGAGAGTTATGTTGCATCAGTTCACAGCCAGGCCTGCTGAGAACCCTCCTTCTTTGGCCTCCTACCTAAAAGAACAATGTAGCTATAAATGATCACTCTTTAATTCAGGGGTTCTCAACCTTCATTGCACCATGATCCCCTTCTGACAAGAACCAACGCCTGAGCTGCACCACCCCAAGTAGGGGGGGGCAAATCCAAAGCCTAAGGACTTTAGCCCCTGGCCCCAACAAATCTAACTCCAGTGCTAGCCAGCCCATTACAATGGAATCATGACCCACTTTGGGGCCCCAACACAGTTTGAGAACTGCTACAATTCCATCTAAATGAGAAAGGAATGCATAATTACGTGTGAGTGCACATCTCCAGAATGTTACATACAAATCTGAAGAGTGAGTGTTCTGAGCAAACTCAGGTGTGTATTTATGACTAGTAGTCTTTTATTTCCTATGAGTCAGATTCTGGATACCTTTATTCATGCTCATAGGTATCTTATTGAGGAGGTACATCAAGATCAATAACTAAGGTATGTAAGAATCTGGCCCTATACAAATCACATTTCATAACAATGAGCCGTATCCTCCACTGATGTAAATCAGAACAGCTAGATAGCTTTGTTGGTTCAATGAAGCTACCAGAATAGACACTAGATGAAGATGTGAACCAGTATTTTAAAAAATATCATTGACATGTTAAAAAACATAGTGTGTACTATATACAGTTAAATACATGACAAATCAATGTTTACAGTACACTAGAATCAAACAAAACATTACTAATAAATTTAATGTTAAATTGTATGTTTTGCTTAAAAGTGCAGCTGCTGAATATACGTGCAATTTCTCCTTTTTATTTTGAGTAACTACTGTGCCCAGGTAGTGTCTCTTTTTCTGTCACTTCACTTCCAATAATTCTAGCTCATTAATTGTATCTAAATCTTCCTGTCCTGAATTTCTATTTGCTCTACTATTTGTTTCTTTTTGGCACAATAAATCCATTCTTTAATATATCAACATTTCTTACAGGCAAGGAACAGATATTTAAAGGTTTAAATTGTTCTGTCACTGCTAGAAACAGCTATATTGTTAAAAATGTCTTATGTTTATATGAGTTAGAGTCTGAGCCAGGGATGCTGGAACAATTTGTATTGTGTAGGTGCTGCTAACAAAAAGCACAGAAAGCCTGTATTTGGTGTTTGTTATTACTGCTTCAAGATAAGAGTGCAGCAGCACCCCTAATTCCAGCACCACTGGTCTGATCCTGCTCCCGGTGAAATCAGTGCTATTGGTTTCTATGAAGGCAGTGAAAAGGCACGGAGGGCTGGCTGCCCCTGCTCTGTCCCTTCTGCCTCTCCAATGCCTTCCAGAAGCACAGAGCTAGGCTCTCCCTCACCTTGCCAAGGGCCGGTGGGGCTGTCGGCTCCCCTGAGGAGGAAGCATGACAGTCTGACCCCATCTGCTATCTAAGGGGCAGAAGCCACTACCTTGTTTCCCCCAAGCCTTTGGAACACTGTATGAAAAACTGTGTTCACTGTGTGTCAAGCCTGAGCCCTGGCACCCCTAGGCTTGGCAGTTCACAGCAGTGGCACCTGGAACTGGGGAGGAGGGGAAGAGCCAGGAGACCAGGGCCCTCCCACTTTTTGAAAGTGGGGGAGCTGTCCCGTCCATGTGTTACTGAGGCTGATCCCAACTCCTTTTCCTTCTGTTTCCCCTGAGGGCTCACCCCCATTCAGGCTAGCGTGAAGCCCAGCTAGGCTATGTCTAGACTGCAGGCTTCTTTCGAAAGAGGCTCTTTCGAAAGCATCTTTCGAAAGAGCCTCTTTCGAAAGATCGCGTCTAGACTGCAGGCGGATCTTTCGAAAGAGAAATCCGCTTTTTCGAAAGAGAGCACCCAGGGAGTCTGGATGCTCTCTTTCGAAGACGGCCTCTTTACATTGAAGAACGCCTTCTTTCGAAAGAGGAACTTTCGAAAGAAGGCGTTCTTCCTCGTGAAATGAGGTTTACCGCCATCGAAAGAAAAGCCGCGTTCTTTCGAAATAATTTCGAAAGAACGCGGCTTGAGTCTGGACGCAGGGGAAGTTTTTTCGGGAAAAGGCTACTTTTCCCGAAAAAACCCCTGAGTCTGGACACGGCCCTAGAGAGCTCTGGCAGCTGTGAGGAGCCACAGTAGACCAAACAATGCCCAGGATTCAGGGGCCTGAGAGCAGCTTCTGACCTTTGACCCCATCACCTCGGCTCCCCGCCCAGCTGAGGGCAGGTCAAATTGGAGTTTCTGCAATTCCACGCTGGCTCCTCACAACTGCCCCCACAGCTCTCTCTGACCTGGTTGTGGCAGGTAGGTAAAAGTGATGCAGGCAGCTGTGAGGATCCACAATATGGACCCTCCACCCTCCTTGCACAGGAGGCCCAGGGGCAGGGACCCAGGCCAGGGGCTGCTCAGACCCTTTACACCATGGGCAAAAGGAGGGTCCATCACAACTCCTCACAGTGACCTGCCTGGCTCTTATCATGGCCAGGCTGTGGCTTCAAGACCCGCACCCTCCTTGTGGGGAGAACAGTGTGGGAAGCTGTGGGAAGTGGGCCCCCCCACCTGCCCTGGGCAGTGAACCAGTGAGACAGGCAGGGAGGAGGGAAGACCAGGCTCCCTGGTACTGCTCCAGCTCCCGGCTCAGCCAGGGGCAAGATTTCAGGGAAAGTGGGGGAGGGCTCCAGCACCCTTGGTTTGTAGCCCCAGTACCTTGCTTGCTTCATCACTTATGAATATTAAAAATGGCTTGAGTCCTGGCACCTCTTTCACTACAAATTAAGCACTCAAGGGAACTACTGTACATTTGCAAAGTCTGCCCACATCAGCAGAGGTACCCATTAACCATGCAGATCTTTAAAGACACATAAAGTCACAGACAATTCTGAAATGACGCTGTCAGCAAACTCAAAATCTTCTCTGTAATCACCTGCAGGTAAAGCTGGGCTGGAAATAGCTGTCCCATTTTCCTGAAAATTTTAAACATTTTGAAATTTCTTTCACGTTTTTGTTTCAGGACAAAACAGACTTTTAAAATGAAAAAAAAGAGAGAGAGATCCACACAGAG